AGCTTCTGTAAGGTTTGCACATGACTCATGAAACCAGAACTTCCACTTTTCACGCCGCAAATCACATGTTACAGCAAAGTGACATCCAGGTCGCTTGTGTATGATCTTAGTGATCATGATGAAATGTGAGTTGTTAACAAAATTCTAGACAAAGTTCACGACTATGCGAATGGCAATGTACTCAGAATGAACCGTCTAAAAATTTAAGTCAGATCAGAATTTATCTCGTCGTGTAAAACCGTAAACACGGTATGGCTAAGACAAAACCACAGTTAAATACTGACTCAGATAAAACTTAAAAAGAAAAGTAATCTCTTGAACGTTAAAATCAAGACAGATTGTCTTGATCAAAAAGAGCACTTTTTGAGTACTGGCACAGTAAACGTTTAAGGAATATAAATAACGTATGTATAATACTTCTGTTCGTAAAGAGCTCGTTAGTTTATTTTTACAGAATATTATTATGATGATTAGAAGTATTCACATTGTTTTAATGACTAGGAATTCTCAAAATAATGCAATTTACGGAAAGTAAAAAAATGAGCATACTAATGAACGTGCTACACTTGGGAATTCGTAATCAGCGGTAATTATGTCTTCAGTCTTCAGCAATAAGTATAGTACGTTGGTGATCCTGTGTTAATTCTGACAGCTTGCTTCCCAGTGAAGGTTCAGTTTCTCCTCGAAAATATTCTCTCATGGGGCTGATACTGCTTGTTCAGGTAAGGCGTTCCAATCATTAACTACTCGATGAAAAAAACGGGACCCCACTTTAAGTTTTTTAGATTGCCGTTTGTGAACCTAATTGCTTTGACCTCGGAGATTATTAGTGCTGGAGGGCGCAAAAGGACAAGATATATTAACACCGAAATCATAATTAAAGATACGAAATGCCAGTATAAGGTCACCTCGCGTCCTACGACACAACAAGAAGAAAAGCTTTAGGTATTTCAAATGCTCATCGTAATGGAGTTTAGAAAGACTCTTCACTAATTTCGTTCCCACACGCTGAACACGCTCAATTGAGTTAGTATCTTATATCAGATATGGGCTAGCGGCTTAAATACACTACTCTAAATTTGGTCTTATATATGTGGGATATAAAATTCGAAACATTTCCTTGTCAAAAGATTTGGACACTCGGCGAAGTGACCATAACGCACGAAAACGTTTGACAGCGGTTGCGTTGCAATGCGTAGTTGTTTCTAATTCATGACTTATGATTACTCCTAAGTCTTTATGTTCTTGAAGGCATGGAACAGGTTTACCATCAATAGTATAAAGGTAACTATTACCGCGACCGATTTGCATTAGCACACTCTTCCTATAATTTATTTCTAAGCCCCAACCTTGAGCCAATCTAACTAAATCGTCTAAGTCAGCTTGGAGATCCAGTTTTTTACGTCATCCGCAAACAATAATGTCGACGACCTAAGCAACAGCGGTAACTCATTAACGTAGAGAAGGAAGACCAGAGGACCTAAGATGGTGCCTCGGGGTACACCACTTTTGACCGGCTTCCAATAGGATAATGTTCCATTGACTCTCACTCTCTGTCTGCGGTCACATAAGAAGTTTCCTATCCACTCCCGCAAGGCATATATTATTCCGAAGCTCGAGAGATTCTGCATGAGACCTAAGGGCGAAACCTTGTCAAATGCTTTTCTAAAATCTGTGAATATCATATCGACAGACAGACCTTTATCTAAGGCTGCTGTCCAATCCTCTCTTGCAATAAGTAAGTTAATCAAACATGAACACTTGTTACAGAACCCATGTTGCTTGGAAGTTAGCAGATTGTGTGAATCTATGTGATTAAATAACTTTACCCGAATTATCTTTCCAAGTAACCTAACGACCATGTTAGTTAGACTGACAGGCCGGTAGTTAGATACGATCTGCAACTGACCATCCTTAAATACAGGAGTGACTATAGTGTGTTTCTAATCTCTAGGAGGTTGAGCGAGTGGAATGGACATGTTGAAGAGCGATGCGAGCTGTCTTGAAATAATGGCCGCAAGAGATGACAGCAGTCGTGGATGTAACCCATCAAGGCCCGGTATCTTACAAGGTTTGAGGTTAGTTATCAGCGGAAAGACAGTTACCAAAGTCACCTGTACAGATTCAATGGATGGTATTTCGGTGTGATTGGGACAAGTATTTTTCTACAATAAACGTAGGGTAGACTTCGTTAGAATTGTTTGAAAAAGTCTCAGCTTTTGCCCGATCCGATTCAGTTGGTAAATCTGAATTTTCGTGTAACAGTAACTGGGGAATACCATCACTACGTTTCATTCGCCGTTTAACATACGAAAACAATCGTTTCGGACAAGTACGGCTATCATATACTAACTGTTGTTCGTAAGTAGTACGGGATTTAGCTATGGTTTTCTTACAAATATTCTGGAATTTTCTGTACTCACGAAATGTGATACCTTACGTGCTGACCATGGGATAAACAGCGACTCGAATGTAGCCTTAAACTTGTTCCATTCGTCTTCGATCGATCCATCCGCGTCAACCGACCAATCAGTTGAGATAGCTCAGTTTTCGATTGCTGGAATATTAGCTCACCAGATATTGGGACGGGGTGGAGCAGATACAATTTGTATACCATGTGTTCTAAACTTAAAGTGAATTACAATGTGACCACTGTTCACTAGTGGTGAAAGGTATTATTATTATTTATTATTATTATTTCAACACATAGATAATGGTACAAAGAGGCACCAAATACATATGCGCCACACAAATCTCATTCGATATGTGTGAGGGCTGTGATACTGCCCGAGTGCCCAAACCGAAGCTGAATATCAAAGACATCCTCACAGTGGGGGGTGAGGGCGAGATCCAGTAGTGACCGATCATGTTTCAAGTCAATATATGTCGGTTTTGCAATACATTGTGCAAGTGCACACTGAATAACGGTTGACAAAAGGCAGCTATCGAAACCACCACCTGGGGCTGTAAGCTCTATCCATTTGGTATGCGGTGTGTTGAAGTCCCCAAATATGAGACAACATTCTGCCATACTCCCAGAACAGATGTGTCTTAAGATAAAATCGTCAGCAAGACAAAGCGGAATACGATGTATTCCCCATATAATCACTAACCCATTTCTAGATCTAATCATACAACATGCTAACTCACATGTACCACTAACATGAGCCTCTGATATGATTGATTGTATACGAAAAGGATCCCTTACGTATAACATTATGCCTCCCTCCTTGTGACCTTAAACTCTATCGCTTCTAATACAGATATAACCTGCAATGATGGGATAACATTCTATCTGTAATAAAAATTATATCGGGACTGAAATCATTCACCATCAGACTTAGCTAGGATGTTTTATTTCTAAGAGCACGGGCGTTCGTGTAGCACATACTTTTGGTAATCATTCGTTCTACACATACAGGCCTCGGAAGCATTGGCTTCCAAGACCTCACTACCCGAAAACCCTTAATGGTAAGGTTAGTTTAGCCATTTAACTTGCAATTCGTTAATTCCGTAAGAGAATTCTTCCACTTGATTCGATCCTCAAGCGGTCAATCTGGTCGGATACGAATATTTGAGTCACGGGTTTTCTGTGCGTTTTTCAATAATATATCTATTCCCGAGAACCAGCTTCAAGATCTTTCTTGGTCGGGTCTCACCTCTAACCCATTTACCGAGTCGTATTGCTTTCGTGATATGTACCCCCGAAACCCCTTCAGGTAGTACGTTTCTTATCACAGATTTCACTAACTGCAGAGCGTGTGCACGTCTTTTCGCAGGGTCATTGTCTTTCGACTCCTCTAGATTCCAAATAATTAATCTAGGAAAGGGTTTGGCTTCGTTGGAAATCGTATCCACGGCTTTCGATCGTGATGTTTGATCCTGCATACTAATGGCTGGCATATTACGATTAGCTTTTATTGTAACATGGTCATGGGAGTCGAGCGAGTGACTCACAACAATGTTTGACGAAGCTTTACTTTGGGACTTTGGCAGAGTAGTCTGAGAGTGCACCAATGACTTATCAAGTAAACGGGCATTAGTTTTAGCCGTTTTACCTACTCTTTTGCGTTTCGGCGTCATCCATTTTCCATAGCATCGACACTAGAACTACTCGGGACAGTAAATGTTTTGCCTGGATCACTGGTCGCTGCTGTAGCAACATGGCCACCAATATTTAATGACGTGTCACTCACTGATTGTGTCGGGGAAGAAGGTTCAATAGCGAGTTGCACAGCTAGATGTTTGGTTTGCGCCGTGATAGCACTTACGACACTGACGCAGTCTTCACCATTAGTACGAATGTTACCAGTAAAGCCCTCGTCGACTTTCTTATTAGCCAACACAAGGAGGCTAATTGCTTCCTGGATGAGTAATGTTTTGTTCGAGCAACAAAACATACAAAGCCGATGAGAGTTGGGTTTTAAGAACATCTTATACGCAGTGGGGCTTAATCGGATGCACATATTATAGAACCATTAATTACACTCATCACATCGCATCCCTTCCTCCACTGGGAATAAGCAATATGGTTGTCCACATTCATGAGCAGAGCTGGCCATCTTGAAAATGAACTACAATGATGACAAAAACAGGGTATGTAAAAGAATTCTCAAACTTTAACCAAATAAATCAAATAAAAGTCGACCAAGTATGCTTCTATGCAAAAAAAATACAAAAAAGCAAAATCGAAACACTCAATACAATATCACTTTAACTGGAATACATTCAATTAAAGTGTAAACAGTAGTTTTGATGCGTAATTTACGATCGAAACAGTTAATTAACTCAACGTTAAGCAATTCCACTGTACTCTTAAATAGCGCGCTCGTACAAAAGAAATATTAGTTCGTAAAAATACCACAGTTAACATGCTGTGATACTTTTATAAGAACGACCAACCAACCAGCTTTAGTACTCGATACCTCTCTCTTATTCATTCCCTGCTTATGGAGTAATGTAAGAAGATTGATACCAAAAATCTTTGAACCCAGAACATAGTGCCTTCTAGAATGACCTTTAGAAGACTGATACCTTCTAGTCAGTCTATTAGCGGGGAATATGAATAAGAAGTTGATGGGACAGGTGAAGTGAATCGCAAGGTAATGATGACACAACAAACCCCTCAGTTATCCTTTGTATCGAGTTAGATAAAGAGGTTTTTCCATATGCTTTCAAAGTATTTTTCTAGAGAGTCTATATGTATTTGTAAATAGTTTAGCGACCTAAACGAACGCAGTCGCGTAGATGACCAATCTCATTATCTTGGGGAAGTTTTTAAGAACTTTGAATGAATTTCTAGACTTTCCATAGTCGTAAGAAATATGATAGTTTTCCCCAGACATTTCTGAGATTTCCCCAAAACTTTTGGGATTTTTGTGCCGTTTCCCCTAAGTTTTCTATAGCGATTTCCCCGGCGAGAGTATAATTTATGGATAAACCAATCATGTATAAGATCTCGCATTTTGGCACGAAATTCACTTATTCATTCGGCTGGAAAGAGTTTTGGCTTTATAGCTGCTGTCAGTTCGTGATGAAAACCCTAAATTTAATTTTTAACATTAATCATCAACTGTAAGTCGTAGTTCTAATTCCTCACACAGGTTTATAGCCCTCTTTTGGCCCTGGTTCACTCAAACCGGGCACGATTTTCCCCAGAATAGGGAGATTGTGTACCTTTATAAAGATAATTCATATTTAAAGAGTTAGCTTGGTCGCGGTTAGCGGATGCGTCAAATAAAACCTTTGTTTCATAAACTTCTACTTTGAATGGAAAAGGAACTAATCCGTTCTGATTGCATTCCTTCACTACTGAGGATTTAGTTAAATACCATTCACCTCTACCATACAATCACTTCGCGATCGGAGTCTCAGGTCACTAAAATCCCGCCATTTTCTAACAAGTTTGTTGTGTTTTCTAGATGAACTATTTATACTGGAGTTAACTGTTTAATAAACACGATGTATACTGAGTTCATTAAGTAGTTCCCCCCTGTTTTTACTAACGACATCATTAAGTAACGGTCCTATGAATGTAGAATATACAGTTGGTTTCAGACTATGGGTCTTTCTGAGTTCGTAGTTGTATTTCTTTACTGCTTAGGCTTTTTTTAATGAATCGTAGATGTGGGTTATTTCCCATTCCACTCGGTGTTTTGACTTGAGTTTGCCTAACCGTACATTGTAGCCTAATCGAAGTACCCTTCTGTATACCTTTGTTTGATCTTGTTTCACATGAACGGTTTTTTTTAAGGTTATCTAAGTTTCTGGAAAGGAATCCAAGCGATTTTCATTTCTGTAGCGTGTATTTTTTTGGTTGAGGAACACCACCGTAATAATCATGTCACTTCCTGCGGCCAAAAATGTCATACCAGAGTCTCTCAAAGGCTACAAAGTCAATGTGTTCTGCTCACCATTGGCACTGCACATTTGATGCTAAGCGAAAGATTCTCAATCATTTACTTATATCTCGTTCCAAAAAGTTTGGCTGGTTTCACGTTCTTATCATCCTTCGAAATCAAGTCACATGGTCTTTATAGCTGTTCAATGTATGTGCTGGTATTCGAATTATTTTCACCCATAACTTAATTCTCATACATAAAGCCAGTTTTTAGTATTACAACGGATCACACTACTACAAGAGAGGTCGCGTTACTGACAGCGACTAATACCGTTTTGGTTACTATCTCTGTGAAGTAGCACATACTTGTCCATGCTATACTGTCACCATGAGATCCTTCAGCCGTTAAGGCTGACAGGGTGGCTGACCACTTTGTAGCCTATGATCGATCTGGACGCTGAAGTAGTTGGGACGTCTATGGAGAAAGATCAGACAAAAATTAGGACAGTGGCACCCTTAAAAACACATCGATTGAGGCTGATTATTCCGATGACCATCAAGCAAATATGTAAATTGAAACCAGAGCAGGGATTGGTAGATCCAACACTTAAACATGACTAAGTAGACAAGTTTGAACTAGAAAAGGAAACGAAAGACGTTAATGTAAGTGGTAGTTGACATGATATCCTATAATTTCTATTTCCATTGTATCGTTTAACTGTACCAAAGCAGCATATTTCCTTTTGTACTCAGAAAGCCGTTATTATGGTTCTCCGATCTTGCTTTAGGAGCAGATAGCCGACATCAACAATATAAAGTCTTCATAGTGATAGTGTTAAATAAATTGCCTGCGTTCAATGGTAGCTTTTACCAGGTATATTTTCAGGAGAACTCGATTGCATCACTTTTGTTTAGAACAGACACGGCACAGTGTCCAAATGGCATGTGTTGTTTAACTGTTCTTTAGCTAGACCTAATCTACACGGCTTCCTCATTATGGGTAATACAACAGCATAAGACTGAAAATAGTTCTGGTCATTTAAATTTTTAGTTTTCGATGTAGTACATAGAAAGAATTCGAATACGAGAGTGATCTAGATGAAGGACACTAAACCTCGTAAGTAAGTTGATAAGCTAATTGAAGTTAACGCTGACATAGCACAGCTGCCTTTGTACTATTGTGACCATTAACCATTCTGTCACTCGAGCCCGTGAAACTTGGTGTCCAACTAGAAATCCATTGTGAATATATGTTGTTGCACCGTTAAGCTAAGCACATGCTCCAACAATCTCATTCAATTGGGGTTTATATAGAAAGATTTGCCTTTACCGGGAAGTTTATGTCAAATATTAAAACAACTCAATAAAGCTGCCATTATCCACAGCGATATTTCCAAAGCACCACTTACATATAGTTTACTTATTTAACCCATCTCCAGTCACGTTTTACGATTGTTATGGGTGAAGAGGTGGGTGAGCTGTTTTTTTGTCTGAGTTCCAATGTATCGCAGTCATGGTGAATGCAGAGTCTGGCCTAGATATCTGTCATCCAAATTATCGTACCATTTCACCAGAGCGAGATGAAATTAAGGTAAATGACAGGTCAAAATGATAGTAATATTGAAGATAGTGAGAGAAACTAATCACATGAAAAGCATGATCTGAAAACAAGTTATGGGTGAAATAATATATCAACTCATAACTTAGAAGTAGGTAATAGTAATTACACATCGAGGTAAGTTTAGTTTCATGATACTCAGTGCATGTTCTACGCATCTCAGGTGATGCAGCTCTACAGTCATGTCAGCTGCATTTCCATCTTTAAACAGATTTTTACGTCCAACTTCAGTTTTTCTCATTCCCCTCATTCTTGAGCAATGTGTGTATTTCACCAACTACCAGTCGGACTGTCTTATTCACAATAAACTTTGTTTGTTTAAGTTATGTGTATCATCGCGATATTTCGGCCTCGTTAGTATTCGGTTTGCCAGGTTTTTTTAAACCTATGAACTTTCATCGTTCTAGAGATTGTGTTATATATAGTACTTGTAATATTGATTAAGAAGTCATATTTTCCTCTACAGGTTGCTGGATTGCATTGCAAAGCTTTTCGGTTGATCTTTCGAGCTAACCAGCTGAATTCTATTTGGTGTACAAATTATGAGCTCACAAGGTTTACCTCCTGGATGGTCTATGGGTTATGATAGTATCACTGGTTTCCCATTTTTTATCGATCACATTAACAAGTCAACTACATGGGAAGATCCACGAAAGTCTAAAACTCAAGTGAGTCTATATCAACATAACCGTTAACAAAATTGTGTCCATACAACAACCTCAAACAATAATGCAATTGTTTGATTTGTTGGTATGTATATAATGCTTAAAATCATAGCTTAAAACCGTTACAACATATCGTCTTTATTTAGCTATTCCACCTTCCATAAGCAAGTTGAAGCTTAAATCATCGAACGAATGGTACTAAACAGCTGTTTTTTCATTACCTTTGTTGGTGTGTGTGACCTTTCGACTGTTAATCAATGATGAATGTAATGATTTATAGTCTTGTAAAGTATGTGTTCGTCGTGTGTAGTTAATGGTTTGGGTTTATAAAATTGTCCTTTGATTGGCAACCTCATATGTACTAATAAACTTTCATCCTTTAAGTGGTTGTACTATTAACTCGTTTTCCCGTTGACCTGTTCTTTTTCTACTCTTACCAGACCTTGAACTTATATTTTTTTGTTTTAAAAAATAATTAGATTAGGTCTCTTTATTTAGTTATTATGGAATTTTGAATCACGAAGCTACTACTACAGTAATTTAATTAATTAATTTCATAAAAGAGATATTTTAAAAATTGTACACATGAAATATAAAGCATTTGAATTCTATGTACAGGTATATAATTAGGGGGTTAAAGTTACACAAATAATTTTCTTGCAATTTCGATCAACTGAAGAAAACAGATTTTTTTTGAGAAGGTCAAGGGTTTGTCAATATGTTAGAAACTTCAATGGTGATTCATAACTAGGATGATCGTCGAAGTCTTTTGTTGATAGAAATATTAAATATATACGGAATCTCCTGTACTTTCTAACCTTTAAACCAATGTTGATGGTTGTTGATAAACTAAATTTAAGACAGTTTTCTAGAAAGACTACAGTACTGAATAGACTAAAATTTAAAAACTTTCAGAGATATTTTAAACATTAGGAAGTGTTCTAATGAACTTTAAATTTAGTAAAATAAATTTCTTGTCCTCAGTTGGATTGTTTATTGAACAGTCTGTGTATATACTTCTATTGTTTCCAACAACATATACGGTTTAATACAGACACTACTGTCACTGGTAATTGTGTACTCATTGGCTCAATATTAGCAAGTTGTATATGTATAATTTAGGCAATAGAATGATCACTAATAATTTTCAATAAGTTGAATTCTGTCAACTACGTACACTCTACGCAGCACAGAGTTGTACTGGACAAAAATTCATATAACTTTAGGAGTTGATTAATTTTCAACTATCACTTGCTTCAGTAGGATTCAGTCATTTCTTAAGAATAAGTAGTTCAACGTACATATTCCTACGTCAATCTTAATGAGGTCTATGATTGTGTTGTGTTAATAAAACGGTCAAGCGTTTTTAATCCAACTCAGCCAGTAAACATTCAGTCAATATCTTCTACTTGTCTATAAAATATAACTAAGGAGCAAACTCTGATAATTGTCTTTTGTATGTCTAACAAAAATAATGTGCTTTTTAAGCAGTTTGTAATTTTTTATGTACCTAATTGTAGAATTCTGGCTGTTCCATTCTATTTTTGGCAAGGCATCATTAAAATTCTGTATTTTAGACGAAAAACAATACGAAACTGCTATTAACACTCTATAAACCTAAAAACATCTCCAATGATAACTGAACGTATAGATCAATAATTCGATTTATTGACTGAGTAAACACACGTTATGAATACTGTCTAGTAGTAATGGTGAAACAAAATATTTCTCTGATAGATCAAACTTTTTGTGAATCTATCGTTCGAATCTCGTAAGGCAGTATCGTAGATGATTATTGATGAAAAGTCCTTTACTAGGATGAAACGGTCGTTCAATGCTTACAGGTTTTCAACGGTGGTGTCTAGCTTAGATCAACTCGTAAATTCATCTATGGAAATACTACAGTCACCAAAAATTCTCATATTAATACAAAATATTTTTTTAAAGTGAATAGTTATCCTATCAAAGAATGAGAGAATGTGACATTAATTACAACGTATTTTATCATTAGGTATTTTTAAGTTGCTTTATTTTGTAGCTACACACATATACAATCTAATATATTTAGTCATGTTACATTGTTTACATTAGAATTTGGAATTTACACAATATAAATTGTTTAATTACAAAGTATAGACTGTAAAAGAAAATACTAAAAGTGATCATAGTAACAGAATATTTTGAAGATCATTTTTGTTACTTAATATAATGAGAATTTTAAAGGAGGTTTAGAAAGTACTAATCAGTTAATTAAGTTATGATTATAATGAATTGAATGATAGAAAAAAAGAATAGAAGTCAATATACTCAGGTTATTATGACAGATGTTAGTTAATTACTTACTTGTTTAAACATATAGGTCAGGTTTAAGCTTTCTAAGTTGCTATGACTTCACTAAATTTCAATTATGTTATTCGATTATTTTGAATGAATGAATCCATTCAGTCTGTCAGTCAACTACAATGTAGGACCAGGCACATATATGCATCGGTTCAAGTTGCCATACCTCATTAGCACAACAAAATCAACACCGAATTCATAAAAGTAGTTAATTCAATGGCGGTAATATATAATAGAAAGATTTTATGTAAAGTTATAGTACAGTGAGAAAGAATTAGCTCGTAGAAAAAATTTGTGAAGCGATTTTAATGTCATAGTTTCAAGGAAGACAGAGTGTATACACCGACACTATTGTGATCGATTCTGAGCCATGTCACACAGAGTCTCCAGCCATTGATTACGATAGTCGCACGGACCCCAACCAAGTCTGCAACTTCCAACATGGCTCATACTAGAGGTTAGTGACTTCAAGCACTGATGCCACGTTTTGATTAGGCTACCCCTAACTTTCTTCCAGCCGTCTCCAACACCGGTTAGCATTGCGCGTCATGATAATCGGAGTTCAGGCCTGCGTAACACGTTGCATTCGCTTTAACATAGCCACTCAAGATATTGCTCGAATATGGACTTACGAAGTGCATACCTTGTACGGCCTATATAACTTGCTCCACAAAAGCAAGTAAACTGATAAATGCAGACTAAGGTGACCCAAAGCGGCAGTTTATCTTTGACACTTCGCTGAATGGGTTTCTTGCTGGAGAAAACATTACGACACGGCGAAATAAAATGTCGTTCTCAGGGATCTACATAATCTGTTCTTTAATATCTTAGGATCCGTATCCCCATTGAATTCAATTTTCAACGACAGAACTTCCATAGGAACTGTAGGAATACTTTAAACTTGATGTTTTGATTTTAGATTACTATCAATGAATCTGGATAGGAAGCCATTCTTGACAAGTTTTCACTGGACTATATTCAGCTCATCATCAAGTGCTTGTCTTCAGGGCATATTTGTCTGGTTCTTGAGAATAGCGAATGGATTGAATTTATCCTTCTACTCAGCGATACATAACTCAGAAAAAATCGTATACTGTCCGTTTCAAGTAGGGTTTCTGAATCACATCCGATACATGAATGTTTGACTGTCTTTGATAGTTTATTAACACTCCTCTATTGTACTATAGACTAATTCACGTAAAAAACTAATGATAAATACGATTGCAGTCCAGTGCTTCTAGGTTTTTCAACGGTGGTCTAGCTTTAATCAACTCGTCAATTCAACTGTGAAAATACTACAATCTCCAAAAATCCTCATACTGACAACTGAGAAATGTTCTGATCACTTTTCTTCATAAAAGAGGAGTGTGTGGCTCCCTACGTAAACCACCTATTTTGGTCTGGGCACCCCGGTAAGAAGTATCACAGCCCTCACACAAATCAATGATAACTGCTACTGGCTTCATTGTTTTTGTGTGGCGCATATGTGTTTGGTGCCCCCTTGTACCAATGTTTATCTGTTCAAATAAATAAATAAATCATAAAAGATATCAGAGACAGTGGTTATTTAAGAGAGTGGCTAGATATTGTTATTGATTGTACAGTTTGTTAATCTTATTCATGCTCTATTAATAATTACAACCTTGACCTTTGTGTTGCATATTAATCAACAAGCTTGCAAAGTAACTTTTCAAAAACAAAATCTATTTTAAGAAAAAGGTAGTTTAGAAGGGTGTATATTTAATTATTTGTACTTGCTATACGAAAATGTACTATATATATATATATATATATATATATATATATATATATATATATATATATATATATCTGTAGACCAACATACTATATAATTCAATCATTTATTAATGGCAGCTAAATGAATGAGCCGTTTCTGTAGTTTCTTATTTTTAGTTTTACTTCAGGTTTATAAACTTTTGAGAACAATTAAAATGCCACGTTTTAGATGTATAAAATAGTTATTTGAGAAAATGAATTCCTTTTTGTAATAGCTGAATTCATGAGTCGATGTAAGACAATGAATGAATGGTTGCGCAAGACCATGAACCAATTGAAATGAAGCATGAACATCGTTGGATGCCGGCTCAGTTGTTTAGAGGTTAAGCGTCCGCACGAGTGACAGAAATCCCTGTGTTCGAGTCCCGCATAAGGGATTGTGGATGCACACTGCTGAGGAGTCTCATACTGGAACGAAATGGCCATCCAGTGCTTCCACTTTTTCAAAGGTGATATACGGCCGAGAGTGGGGATAGTCCGCTCTCCTTCTCGAAATGCTCTCACATGGTCACGCGTATATAGCCTCTGCCAGGGAAGTCCTACTCACTGCCTTCTCGTGGCGGGGGTGTTGTTTACGAAAATGAGAGGACGAAAAGCGAATGTCTGGCGCTTTAACCGGATTCCAAATCAATGGTGCACATGGGCTCCAGTATCTCACGAGAACAAATGGCGTATGAACCAACTGTTGGTCACCGGCTTCCATGGGACTGCATCTCCTTACGATGCTCCACTGCCTTGTGGATCAGACCCTCAGGTCGAAGGCTCTGGGTGTGGCCCTCTAAGAAAACCACCTGTTTCGGTTTGGGCACCCAGGCAGTATCAAAGCCCTCACACATATCGAATGAGATTTGTGTGGCGCATATGTATTTGGTGCCTCTTTGTACAAATATCTATGTGTTGAAATAAGTAAATAAAAGCTTGCATCAACTCATGAATTCAACTATTAAAAAATTACTACTGTCTCCACAAAACCCTCATTCTGATCATAAGATGAATTCTCTTTTATGGGAATGACTGTTATATTTCAAACGTTTATATGACTGAATTTGTTTACGCGCAATGATTCTTAGTTCTGAAGAACTGGGTTGAAGGAGAAATACAGTCAGTCAAGCCAAGATATGATACTAGTCCATAGAGTTATTGATTGTTGGATTAAGGCGTATTGTTAGGTGCAAGTGACTTGATCCACGCAATCATTGTGACCAGTGGTTTGAAAGACATTGAAGGATACGAAATAGGTTAAGCCGACTACATTCCCCCACATGTATTCGTTGTCTATCTTCCCTTAAATTTTGAGTTTTATAATTATCTCATCCTTTTCTTTGCCAAGAATTTATTCTTCTCATATCATACTTTCTATGCATAATATTTTTTATTACTAATTTTGACACTGTTACTACTTGCATTACTTTGGGATTCGTGCTGATGATTTCACTTCGTTATAGTGATTATATATATCAAGTTCTACATTGCTTGTGACTGACTGATTTACTGGGATTCTAGGCGAATCTTTCAAAATTTTCATGATCCCAGTCTACTACTGTCTGTCAGTATCTATTTATACCAATGTTTAAAATACTAAACATTTTGAAATTAAACTACTTAGAAATGAATATAGTTTTCTGATTGAGTGATAATACTATTTATTTATATGATGGAATTCAAATTAAGGCGGTTTAATATTTGTTGTTAAGGCATTGCTTTTTCTCGGAAACTGTTGGGATATTGTTATAATCTCTTTCTTACGGTTATAACCCAGCTATTCCTATTGCTTAGTATTCTTCGACACCGATTCCCTCGACAAGTCCCCAAATCAGAACACGGTTGAACAGGAAAGAGATTATATTCCAAATAACAAGGTTAGATGGAAGTAAGATGCCAGTAAGAAGCCAGTAGGAAGCACAATAGAGAAAATGTCAGTATATTTATAGTTTTTACATAAGAAGATTCCAGAGTATTCTCCAACAATCGACTAGTGCTGATTGGATAAGAATTAGCCAATCAGCGTGCACCAGAGCAATCATGCATTGAGCATGCTTTAATCCAGTCTATGTCCCACTAACAGATATTCAGGAAAATATCCCAGAAATTATCCTATTAGGTCTAATGCTATTCTTGAACTTGGACATGGTATGATTTTCTTATTGGTCAGTACTTATTTCACGTGTTATTTTCCTACTGGTCAATATTGTACAATGTTATTTTCTATTTTATGGTACGTTGTGGTCTGATTGACTGGTATATAAACAAAGTATGTTTGAAATATAGTGATTCATACATCCGAGGCTGAGACTTGCGTTCTGGACTCAACTGCTGGGCTAGATAGGGAAGCGGGACCAATCAGAACCCTAGGTCGTTCTACGTGTTTGCGCGTCTTCGGTCCGATCGATAATTCGCTACCCTCAAATCTGCCGTCTCACAGTTATAACAGAAACACTTTTTTTTAATCCCTCTAAACTGAATCTTATGCAACTAATTGAAATGTTTATATTCATCGCTTGAAACTAACATGAATAACATTTCTTTCTATAAAATTTCCTCTTTATTTATCTCATTGTGATGATATTTATGTCTCTTATGTAATTTAGAATTTTATAGTCCTTATCCTTTATTCAAATTTTTTAAAAATGATTTTTCCATTATATTTATTTCTATAATCTAGAGTAATATCCCACAAAATTTACAATCTGTCCCATCTTATTCATCTGAATTTATTAATAATCGTCGACAGTATAACCTTCCCGGAAATGAACCAGTGATCAATCCTTCCAATCCAGGAGATATTAAATTAGGCAATGTAGGAGATAACATTCAACGTAAAAGTCAATCACATTATGATAATGTTAGTGAACCAATACCAATCAAGGTAAGCTGATATAGTTGTCTTTTGATTTAACTATGTGTGATGTTAACCATTATTATATTTTTGGCGGACTTAATTTGAGAGCTGTATTATCCTATATGATATTTCAAATAAATCTAACATTCACCTTTCTCCTATACACTCTCCAAGTGTCTTCATATCTAAAGGAGATCAATCGGTAAAGTGTTTTGGCATCTCTTCAATCAAGACTCAATTGTTATATCTGCTTTGGTGTAAAAAACGGAACTTAACCACATAGAGTTAATCAGTGATTTGACTGATAATCTCACTAAATTGAACAACGATAGTTAGCTCTATTGGATTATAGATTTCAACGTCACCGTTTTAACTATTTTCAACTGTGCTTCCTGAAAATCTTGTTGCCTTTATTATATAGTAGTATTGAGCTCCAGGGATAATTCTTTCCACATGCATACATCTATTGGTCGACATTTCTATAAGCCTGTCAAGTTATCATTTTTAATTAGGATTTCATCAGTAATCTTATAAACGAATGATCCAGCTACTGAATTATTCTATCTGTACTTTTTCTTTCAGATACCTTTATTGTAAGAGCGAGCCTTTCAGTTTCATTCACAATTATACACTGTTCTTCCCTTTATTTGTACAAAACTAAATTAAATAATTGTGTTCAGTAATGTCTTTTGTCAATTAACCTGACAACGATTTAGAAACCCTTTTATGGTTTTTGTAGTTTAAATCAGTTACTGGTCTTAGCTAAACCATTGTTGAAAACCTGATAACACTGAACGGCCGTTTCGTCCTAATGTCGGACTTCTCGGTAGAGCGTATCTACGAACTCGCATCCGGTAATCAAACAGATGACTTTCGGTCTCATGTCCAGACACTTGACTTCTAGACCACTGGACAAGTATCTGATGGCGTACATGTCTATCTTCAGTCAATTCATGATATTGCACAACCCTCATCCCTTACCTAGAGTGAATATTTGTCTCACCCAACATGATTGGAGTCCGCCGATCACTCTTCCCACTGGGATTCCAGTAGTTGGATCTTGAAGCTTGTCGCTATTGAGCACATGGTTATAACTACTACATGGGGTTTGCAGAACTATAAAATTTTTGTAGTTTAGATCGTGAACTTAGCTAGTGTAATTACCCTATACACTTTGAATTTGGTATTTAATTTGTGTTCCTGTAGTTTAGGTAGTTCCGTGTTAAGGTTCCTAATAAAGCCTCAAACCTGATCAATCGCACCTATCTGATCCTGCTGCTTTTCACTGTCCAAAAATTCGTACATTTTCAGTCTAGCACTATCTGCATATTAGTTTAAAGTCTTTCACGCTCAAGTGAACCTTTTTATCACAACGTTTTTGCTTAAATTCTTTTTATTTTCCGGTAGATAAGCTACATATCTAATTGTTTTTCTCAACTATTCACATGATAATCTATTGGGAAATTCTCCTCTTTAGAATTATAACTACTTATAAGTAATATGGCTGGACTGTTTCAGCACGACATAGCTCTATATTTATACACTATTAGACAGGTATAGGTAATTAATACAATACAATGATGGATTGTTTTTGTGCCCATCGATTAAATTACAGCATGTTCGTACTTGTTACTTCAGTAAACTTTGTTTTTTTTTTAGCGATATTATTTGGTATCACAGATTGTTCATCAAACAGTGCCCAGTTTGACATCGGTGATAATCCTTCCATCGTATCGTTTACATCTTGAATTACTAGAGACCAATATTTCTAGTTGTGAGATTAAATGTGTGTGGTAGTTTGAATACTTGTCAAAATATGAGTTACACTTGAGCGTTGCAAACAACCTTACTGATTAATATAGCGTCAATGAATAGCGCTCAATGATCATTTTGATTACGTGTCATTGCTACCTGACTAGCTGTTTATGTCAATGTGACTTTTTTGTTGTTGTTATTTGTGTATTATTAATCATTTGACTTGAACATATTGACTATAGTTGTATTAGAATTGTATATGTTATTAGAAATATTTTCTTTCATTTTAACAACTCTTACCAAGGTGCATTCTATCAGCTCTTCGAATAATAATAATAACAATGATAATAATAATAATAGTAACCATCATGAATATGAACAAAAACTGAACAACACCCCAGCAACTCAATCGTTTGATTCATATAAACCTAATCAAAATTCTTCTACAAATAAAAGCAAATCAATTCCTATCAAATCTATTTCTGTTAAAATTTCAGATGATAATAATAATAATAATAATAATAATAATAGTGATAATAATGAAAATGTATCTCAACCAACAACATCAGATCCATTCTCTCTTATAGAACAAGCTCAATGTGAACTTGCAGAAATAGAAACTGAGATTAGCGAGTTTACTTGTGAGTTGACTTATTTATTAAATATATTTTGTACCGTATTATATACATATATAAGTATGTATATGTATTAATGAATTCTATAGTTTATACTGTAGGAAAACGCATGTATAAGCGAGCAATATTGTTTTCATTTAGCTTTACTCTATTTTACAGTGATATTTATATAAAAATCTTAAACCAATCAAGACAGTTTATGGGTCAATGATAATTACATAACTAATCGTTATAAGTAAATTACATAAGTCGATAATAGAATAACAATTGTAGTAATAATGGTACGAATAATTAACGAAATGATGATATGAACAAACTTATTGACATATGAAATGGGTCAAAGTTTAAAAGAATAAACTGACCAAGATACTAATCATTATAAATTATGTAATAGGAAATGCATGTTAACAGTCAAATAAAACGTATAAGTAGTAAAAAAGAGTTAGGAAGATCTTAACTGGAGGGAGATCCGAATGAACTTACAGATGCCAGTCCTGTGTAACTGTCTTTCATACCAAGATTTATGTCACAAACTGATCATCCTTTTTCCATTAAATTCCGATGTCTGCTAATGATAAATAATATGGAAGTCTGTGGAACAATATTCGTAACACGTATTCAATATACTGAAGCTCGATTCGGGTATACTATATCATGATTTCATATTAAGGATGGGAGAGTTTCCCGTAGACATCCAAACCACAACTACATGCTTCACAGTTGTCTTCAGGATATCATCGATGCATAAGTTAGGGAACGATATCGGGGTCGGCCAGGAGTCTTCAACTTCACTTTTGACTTGAGACAATGGAGAGGTGGTTGTACGCTCTCACTCTGCCTGAGGTGTTTATTTACAGTGCATTTAGTTTATTCATATACTTCTTAGGGACAATTCTTAATCTAGGCTTGAGTTTCAGAAGCATTGCATCGATTAGCTTATCTGTGATTACACCATTGGTGGTTGATGTTCCTCATGCCAGTTTTTCAGTTTCGGAGGAGCCTTCCACCTTACCAACACACGAACAGTTGTCAGTGGGGATCTAATAAGTGGGTCTCTATTTGGCTAGGGCACTTAGTGCGACATCAGTACCAGCTAAAATATACGTCGATGGTACGGGGCCCTTGAGTGAGCGTATGTGAAACTGGTTTTTGGAGTCGACAAATAGAGATTACATTCTCATTTCCTTATTAGAGTCTTGTATCGAAGTCTCAAAAATTCAATACTTCAACATTATGATTTTTCAAAAGACAGCCTAAGGTATCGTCAGCAGTGTGAATAACCAAAGAGCGATATCGTCTAAATGCGTAGTGACTCAAAGTTTTTAGAACATTTTTTCGTAGTTATCCATCAATGTGTTTGTATTTGGGATGTGGTACTCCCTGTATTCCTAAACCGAAGCACATGTTTTCTTAAGGTATTACCTCTTTAGTCTTTGATCTGAAAGTCTAGTTCACAAAGGAGTTGAACAACTTCAGAAGATCTCAGTCCCATGAAATCTGGTAACTAAATCGGGTTTATACACCACACTTTTCCTCAGGGTCGTACAAGATTTTCCAACTCCACTAGATAAGACTTTATCCAAAGACCCTGTTCTAGTCTCTTGAACACCCGCTTTTCGACTTCACTTTGGTAGAAATTGCCATTACTACATGTAAGTAATAAGTGTGGCTTATAATGTTTTTTAAACAATATTGATAGTGACCCATTTTATTAGTTAAGCATAAATACTAATAAAATTACGTAAGGATGGTTGTAGCCCCAACTCTGCGTTGAATTTCCCGACAAATTAAATTAAATCTGAATAATTTATACTAAAGGCATAGAAGATTTCTATTAGTTCCTTTCAATAAATTCAATTATTGTAGTTATCGTTAAGTCTTATTTTTGTGATTCATATCATGGTATTTGTTTACTTATTTATTTAAACATAAACATAGGTACAGGAAGACATTAAATAGACGTGCGCCACAAAAATCATTCGATTTGTGTGAGTGTTAGGATACTGCCCGGGTGCTCGAACCAAAGCAGGTGCTTTTCTTTGGGGGGCCACATCCCGAGCCTTTGACCTAAAGGTCTAATCCACAAGGCAGTGACGTAAGGATATACAGTCCCATGGTAGCCGGTGACCAACGATTGTTTCGTACGCGATTTGTTTCCTTAGGATCCCAGATTCCATGTACACCTTTGTTTTGAAATGAGGGTTTTCCAACTCCCCTAGGTGGATCTTCCATATCCACCAACCCGGTTAAAACCGATTACTAGAAAACTACACCAATTTAAAGTCTGAATGATCCTTTTATACTTTCATTATGATGAAATTAATGAATCTTTTTTATATTCTCATACATAATTTTATCCAAATCCATGTTGATATATATATTTTTTCCAGCTTCGTATAAAACTAAAGCTTATCTGTTACTCGAAGATAAACTTGATAAGCTTATGCTACGATTGGATAAAATCGATTCATCTGGTGAAACATTTATCAGAAATAAACGTCGTGAAGTTATATTGGCTGTTCAAAATGCTCTTAAAAATCTTGAAAATAAACTGACACATATAAAATCAGATCATCAAGAGCATGATATCAGTTTAACTGATCAATCTTCTTCTTCTTCTAATGACAATAATAATACCAATGATAATATAAATAAACAAGATCACTCATCTATAGATTCTAGAGAAATTCATATAGGTTCTAATAAAGAATGTCAAGACAATTAGATCATCCTCTATGGTACTTTATCTTATTCTCTAAAACTTCAATGTAGTTCAGTATTTTCCCGTCTACATTATAATATTTTCTGATTATTATCATTATTACCATTATCATGTGAATAGTTGATTTGCTTGTATAAAAGAATAATATGACCATAATTGATGCGTTCATTACTGGAAAGTCTTTTTAGTCGCTTTATCATGCTACGATAGAAATTTTAGACTTTTTCTCCATCCTGTTCATATCAAGATATGACGATATTAACTTCTTTTGTCACCATAGTCGGAAGTTGTCTCTGGTATTTATGTTTTATTCACATAAAACATAAAGAGGAAGTCCGGTTATACTCGATTTTGAGGGTTTTTTTTAAATATAATATTTTTATTTCATAGTCACTTTGTGGTGACTTCATTAATTTCATTACACAAAATTTGTCAGATTAATTGACTGTAAGTGATTTACAGTGGTAAACTCATCGTGAGCTATAGCAAGAGTGTTATGAATACTAGAAACAACATGGCAACTTAAATTTAGTAAGGCAGTCAATTTCAGTTCATTTATTACGAAAAATCAAATATGTTAATAGGCAGTAGGGGTTCAAGTCATGCAGTCGCTTTTCGATATCCAAAAGGTGTGAAGTATCCAACATTTTTGCTCATTTGGCTGCATATAAATTATTTTTACCAGACTTCATTTGAAGCCCTAACTCACACCTTATTCGTTTTTCATCCGGCATGTTGGGATGCACTGCACTAAAATGTATTAATAACAGACAGATGTGTGAAATGAAGTCTCCAGCAAGGTTACACTTTCATGCAGCACCCACCCATTAAAGGAACGGAACAACGCTGGGTACTACACATCTAATAAAAGGTCGGATAACCTCAGCCAGCATAAAAATGCCGAGTACGTTCTCAATAAACATGCGTTATGTTGCTCCCATTTGGTAGAATGCACTTACCAAAAGGTTTGATCATGACGGTCATGGAGTAGACTATACATTCAATATTTGCTATTGACTAATTCATCGATTACGGTCGCTCAGTTAGTAGACAGGATGCCTACTCCTAAACACGTTTCTGCTTGTCGATCAAATCCTGTCATCCCTTGCTTTGTGATCGTTATAGACAAATAGTTTCTGTTTTACATAGTTCCCCATATTTCCTAGTGGATTTGGTACTGGCTGTTGAAATATGTATTGCTGAAGTTTCGACCAACTATCATTGTTGTCAAACGTCTGGTTGATCAAGTTACCTTTATCATCCCCGTCACTACTACACATAGCTCACCAACTCTCATTATTTTCGTCATAAACCTCTTTGAAAGTAGTGTTCAGCACTTAGAAGTCCTTTTGTTATTATTCTCACTAAATACTTGATATTTTTACAAAGCAATGGTAGGAAAATTTCTACACAGGTTTTTTCATAGTGGTCAAGCTGTGACTAGTTGATAGTAGTTGTTAGTTTCTGGATTTCTACACGTAATCTAGCATTTCGGTATTCCCAGTCTTACTAAGACACATCAACACAATGGGTAAGAAAGTTGAAGTAATAGTACTGTCAATGATATTGTGAAAACCTAAATAGTTCAAATGGTTGTGGACAGAATAGAAGCTTTCGCTTAACAGGTTTCCGTGTCTAGTAGCAGGGGATCACCAAATCCTCCAGGCGGGAACCTAGGTATGTTAACAATAGAAGAGGAAAAGAAATTGGTAAATCGTAGTGTGATGCTGTCCTTGGTCCTTAAGAATAGGTCAAGTTGCCTCTTGAAGGACTCATGAGAAGTCGCTTGGACTAGCACGAACGGCAGCGAATTCCAGCTTTTGACAACTCTTAAGGAGTAGAAATTGTGTCTACATTCCATCTTGCTATGTTGAGTTTCCAGTTTCTGGCTGTTACCCCTTAGGTTATTATTCGAACTAAGCTTAAGTAGGTGTTTAAGAGGATGTCCAGAAGTGTTAAGAATAGTATAAGCCATTAATAAACCACCTCTAAGACGCCTATACTCTAATGGGTAAAGGTCTAGTGAATGGAGGCGTTCGTCGTAAGGCTTAGATTTGAGTCCTCGAACTGATTTCGTGGCTCGCTGTTGGATACGCTCCCAAGTGACCTTGGCCATTTGGATTGAGGGGGGAGTACTATGTTTCCGTACTTCAAATGGGGACGGATAAAACTATTGAAGATTACATGGAAAGTTCTTCCGTCAAACTGGCCAAAAATGCGCTTCAATGTTACCAGTGCAAGGTTTGCTCGGAATGCATTTTTGTCACAGCGTAAGACTTTAAATCATGGGGCACCAGGACTCCTAAATCTTTTTCGACTTGGGATACTATTAGAGAGGAGTTTCCTAAGTTGTAACTGTAGTTTGCGACATGTCGCAGATGAACTAGTTTACACTTTGAAGTGTTAAAGGTAAGTCCGTTATCGTCTGCCCAACTTTGAAGTCGAGTCAGATCCTCCTGAAGTGCCTGTATATCGTCTTGGTTGCGTATCTCTCTCCAAAGTTTCACGTCGTCTGCAAAAAGTAATAAATCTGACGTAACCTGTTGAGGAAGCTCATTTATGTAAATCAAGAAGAGAAGAGGCCCTAATACTGAGCCCTGGGGGACTCCACTAGGACATTCCATAGCCTGAGATAAAGTGAAATTAACCCTAACCCTAAAGTGTCGATTTTCTAGGTATGAAGTAAGCCAATCGATTAGAGGTGGTTTGATACCTAGTCGTTTAAGCTTATTGATAAGACACAAGTGGTTAACTTTATCAAAAACTTTTGAGAAATCAAGGTAAATGATATCAACCTTTCCCTTGCGATCGAGGATGCTTGTCCATCTGTCCACCGCAGTCAGCAGGTTGATTATACAAGAGTAACCCTTCCTGAAACAATGGATTATGGAAAGAAGACGAATGAGGGTAATGGCTTGTGTGCAGTAACATTTAGGTTTATGTTTTAAAAGAAGATAAACAATGGTTAAGATACTGGCGAGCAAAACATCATGCATGAACCCCAGCCTGGTCTACATCTGTTTGGGGAGAAGTATATCAAGTGCGCACTTAAATTTTCAGTTGAGCAAGCGTTACTTCAGTAACCTGTGTCCCGATAAAGGCTTCTGAAGTCGCAGAACTAAATTGAACTTATTGACTCAACAACGAAATAATCTCTTGGATTGTTCAAACTAGGTGTCGGTACGTTTTAGAGTATGAAGAAGTGGGAATCCTGTATTGACCAGCGGCCGCCCAATGGTATTTCATAAGGCAACAACTTATGACCGAAAACGGATAAGTTTACATTTTCTGTTGTGTCTACATATCGACACCTAAATATTCTGTTGTAGTGGTAACTTTGTTGAGTTCACATATAACTCCAATAACTTTTGCTTGTGGTTACATTGAATAGTATAGCTAGCGTTAACAAGATCGTTGCAAACCTATTTAGCAACAAGAAGACAATGTTTAGAAGCGCGAATTGACTTTTAACCTATATCAAAAATATGGTCACATGATGTGAGACGGAAATTTCCGTCCATAATTAGGAGCTAAAATCTCACAGACTAGTCTCTAAAGTGTCCCAGTCTATTTAATTTGTCTGTGAATATTGTATAATCGGGTTCTAATTCTATTGGTATCTTGTTTTGGAGATAAGGGCGCTTATAATTCCGTTCTGACCATTTTCTTTTCGCCAATATCAACTTATCGAATTCAGCGTGGTGAAAAGCAGATGCCTTGTGGGTATACATAAATCCGTTTAAATAAATTTCATTATCAGATGTTGGTCGTTACTATATGAACGACTGCCGTTTCATATGTTTCTCACTTAATCCAGCGAGTATCTAGCTCCCAATGATGATGCAAGAGATGTTTATATAACAGGCAGTTTACTAATTGAGTTATTGCTTCTGATTCTCGAATTAATTTCCAAGACCTGGACATAGTAACGACAAACTTATTACGCAACTGGATTTTGATCCTAATTGCATTTCCTTTATTAATTTTCATAATTCGTACATTTACTACAAATGACTGTAAAAGTTGTTTAAAATAACATGCTCTATCAAAGACATATCAGCAGAAACAGTCGCATCAGTATTTCCTGGTCTTTGGATCGTCTCATAGATTGTTACTACAAACTGTGGTTCCAAGTTTCGATCCGTTTTATTTTAGGATTTTACCAAACTTCCGGAAGTAGATCACATCCAAACAACAGCTTACCATTCAGTAGCGAATGGCCAAGTTGAGAGATTTCACCGTCGACTGAAAAGATCACTGATCTCACATGCTGATACATCGAAGTATAGCGACGCACTACTATTGTACCACATGGAATTCGTTCAACTAACAAAGATGTCGGTTGCACATCAGCCGAAATAATCTATCGTACAACCCAAAGGTTGCCAGGACAATTAGTCAACCAAGAAACAACTGACCCAGCTCACTTCGCGAGCCGCCTATTGCAAAAAATGCAAAATGTTAAAGCAATACCCCCCATAAGCTTAACAGTCTCATACAGCTTGAAAAATGCCTGAAATCGTGTAAATCCGTCCTTTTTCGAGTCGTAGTTACAATAACCATACGAAAGGCCTTATCAGAAAAACATCGGACAACTATACACTTTTTATTAGCAGAAATGGAGAGAAACTATCTCTATAGATAGAATTAAACTTACTTTCCATGAAGACCAGCAAGACAAGGAAAATACTACAACAGCTACAGAACTTCTACCATTATTTACTACGAAATCAGAGCAATATGTAAAACCAAGCAGCAATTCTTCATGCTCAACACGCTCAGGCAAAACTGTAAAGAAATCTATGCGTTATGTCCATTTGCGGAATAGAACAAACTGACAAGTAGTTACTAATATATATTACACTATAAATCCATCCGGTATTCTGTCGAAAACTAATATTTCTCCACACAATATGTTCACAGTTAGTTTTATTTTCCACGGTTACTCGTTTTATCATATCTTCCGAAAAACTGACCCAGCATCTTGTCATTCACCAGATTTTGAGCCGCTCGATATTGTCTTCTTAGTAATTCCTGATGATTTATCTTTCAAATGTCCAAGATTTCAATCCATCTCGACGCCAGTATGATAATTAGAATTATTCAAGTCATTGAATTAACTAAGAATTTCCGAAATAGTGCAATTTAAGACAGGTGAAACTAAATGAGCATAAATAAACCTATATTTTATTTGGAATTCGCAATCAGTGCACAAGAAAGTATGAAGGGATCATCATTTAGTTCACATGCCAGAATCCAGTAATTAGAAACTATATGCGAACAGGGTAAGCGTTCTCACAAATTTCTATATGTATGATCAAATGACGTCCTCCTACAAAATGTAGGTGCCAAATATATTTATTCGTGAATGAATGGGAGGAAGTCAGAATCTAAAAGCATAATTGTCATAATATGTGGAAACAAAATTCTGTACAACCATACTGAGGATTAATTAGAAGAAAAACTATAGAGCAAGGATGTTCTGGTGTAATGTTTTACCGTAAGCGAAAATAAACTATACATGAATGCAAGTAAATAACACGTTACTGAATCAAAAATCTGATTAGCATATAAATCGTAATTCCTGACGAATTCACATAAAGTAATTTGTTTAGTTCCTCAATGAAACTCTTCTCCATCGTGCTTGTTGCGTCCAAATTTAGCTCTTGTTTGATATTGAAACTGTCGATTGATCGTAACTCGAGACCGAGATAATAATGGAAGAAAATTCCAGTTCAGTCGCCGACATTTATCATCGTAAAGTATGAGTAATTAACCCACAAATACAATAATAATAATCTTCAAAATTTTTCTGATTTTCGTGAGTTCGAAATCGTCTATGTTCAACTTAATTACTCACCTGCGCTTGTTGCTCCCTCATGGAGCAGCATAGGTCATCCACCAGCATTCTTCGCTCAACTTTGTCCTAGTCAATCCTTTCCAGTAGCTGTTCATCGTTTTGATGACTGCTTCGAACTTTCGACGCAATGTGTTCTTTGGAGTTTGTTTCCCTTGTGGATTCCAAGTTAGATCTTGGCCCGTGTTGCAGTTTGGTGATTTTCTCAATAAAAGTCCTATCCATCTCCAATGTCTTTCCTAATTTCCCCTTCAACTGGAAGCTGGTTCGCTCTGCCCTACAGTAAGCTGATGCTGATGGTATCCAACTAACGGACATTGAGTATCATATGTAGACAATTGTTTATAAATACTTGTACCTGGTTGTAGTAGTTTTCGTAGTTTTATCCCCGTACTGTAGAACTGTCTTGAAGTTCTTATCAAATATTGTGACTTTGATGTTTGTTGACAGTTGTTTTGAGTTCAAATGTGGGAATGCCGACCTTGCCTTGCCAATCCTTGCAGTTACATCTTCATCGATGATGCCGTTCAGGTACGTAAAAGTTTCCACCTTCTTCTGAGACTCTTCGTCAAGTGTGGTTAGGTTGATGTTGTATTTGAGGATCTTAGTTTATTGTGTATGCTGCAGTATACATATGAAGTGGCGTCTGCTACTCTGGCTGTCTTAACATGTATTTTTTGGTGTGTATGGGATAGTAGAGCTAGATCACCTGAAAAGTTCAAATCGTCTAGCTGAATCCAAGATGTCCATTGTATTCCGTGCACCCTTTGAGATGTGGAAGTCTTCACAATCTATTCAATCACTAGAAGGCAGAGAAATGGGGAGAGTTAATTGTCATGTCTGATACCGTCTCTCACTTGGATTAAATCTGTCCACTGTCTTCTATGAACGACTTTAAAGTGTGTTCCGTCGTCTGAATCCATATGATGTTGACGATCTTCCGAGGTACATCATAGTTGTTAAGATTGACTGGAATTGTGCATTTTGATTGTGAATTGAGGCACTCTTCCAGAATTGGAAACACTCTGTGTTATAAAGCAACCAAACATTATCTTTGAACGAATATGTGCGTGGTCCATCCAGACAGGATAGAATAGCATTTATTTGTTGCGATTGGTAGTTTTCTCGCATCATTTATCAACTTCCTTATTTATTGTAATTTAGATTTGACTAATTGAACAATTATTGGTTGGATAGATGGGCGGTCATATTTGTTTACTTAACAAGGTACATTTAAATCTTTGATGAATTTTAGAACCATCATTTTTCCGGGCAAGAGAGCGTATCTAACCCACCTAGATAGCTACTCATCAGTTCAAACCTTAGTTTGGATCTTACAATAGTATCGGTAAAGGTTCCGCAATATTCTCCCATCAAGGCTGTCAAAACGCCTTCTTATAGTCTAGGAAGTTAAACTTTAGTGACATATCACATTCAATTGATTGTTCAATGATAATTTGTTGTGTCGCGATGCGGTGTGTGTACGACTGTTATACATGTTATCCGGTTTGTTGATGGCGAAATTGGACATCTACTGAATTTTTCATCCGGTTCGGCAACACACTGTTGCTCTCATAGCTGAGTTCTCAAACTTGCTCAGATCATCCTTTGGTAACTTGATGATGTATTTCTCTCTCCAATTCGTCTGTGACACTTGTTGTCCTTCCCAAATCTTCCTTGATAAAACATGGAACATAATTGCAGTTGCTTCAATGTTTGAGTTTAATGATTCAGATAGTATGTTGTCAGGTTTTATTGCTTTCACACTCATGATTTGTGTGATGTCCATCCTGATTTCTTCGATCTTAAGTAGAGTGACATCTATAGGGAGGTCTGTAGGTGCCGCCAGTGATTTCAACAGAGTTGACGATGTTGTTGTATGTCGGATTTATGAGAACTGTGTGCTACATGCATACAAATCCGCCACGTTATTGTTTCTGTTCCAAGGTCAAATTTGACTAAACACAAATATCCAAAAGACTGTGAGATTAATTATACTCAGTACCACCGTCTTTAATCGGTTACTTTCCTTTAGTTCCTGCTACAACAGTTGCCCCTCAATTTAAGAAGGATCCAAGGCTCGCAGATATGAGACCAAAGAAGAACAATCATCAATGCACTAAGCCGTATTCAACTCTCTTGGCATGACTGAACTGGAAAGCTATGTAGAGAATAAAAGCTAAAGGAACAATGTTTCAAATTATGATGCCAATTATCCACCCTTATTTTGAAGAACCACAAATACACTTAAGCTCAAAACTGTGCTGATGAAAGAATCATTTTAGATTAGGATACAGTGAAACACATAGGAAAATACACTCACAGACGTTTTATGAGCTCTGAAATTCCCCATCCGAAATGACAGAAATATGATATTTTGCTGAGTTTTCGAAAAACAAAGTCATCATACACTTTAGTTTCAATTTTGTATCCTTCGACAATCACTCCAGTCAATAAATGCCTCTTTTTTTCGGAAAGAAGCTTCGACAAAAGTTGTGAGCCTTTAAAATGAAAAATTTCCTTCAAAATTTTATGCTTACTCTTAGCATTAGATGATTCGCAGATTATTTCCAGTTGATTCTGAGCTAACTAATATACAAAATTTGTCTCCAGTACATACCAACTTGTGCATGCTTGTTGAAATTCTTTAAAACAATTTAATTTAACCGCCCAACTGATCTTAGTGGGTGCTGCCAGATATCTGGAGCATTTCATTGAGGTTATGATGCAACCTTAAGTTAATCAATTGGTTTATACCAAGTATTTTATATCTTATAAAACCAAAAGGCTGTTTCTGATATATTAGTCTTTGCTGGCGATTTTAATTCATCATTGAGGTTTAACTGCGGCATGTGAGCAATTTTTTAGTTCACATTGTCATTTAATTCAAGAATTTTATGTTCAGTGGTTTACGTGTTTGAAACAATCAACGGATCTAAAGAGAGTTCTGCGCATAAAGGTCACAATCAATGAGGTACTGTGGTTTTATGAATCCGAAGTGTGTTTACTCTAAGATTTTTCGCACATAAACGTAAAAAACGTGCATATAGAATGCGTAAGGTTATCGTTTTTCCAAATTTCGATGTATTTAGATGCGAATTGGAGGCTGAACTCTGTCATAATGAAGTACTAGATTTTTATATATACTGAACTGACTGTAATTCTTCTTTATTAGGTGAAGAAGGTCCTTCAGTCAGAATAAATTTCTATAAATAGCTCACACATATTGATTCCCGTTAAAAAACAAAGTGACTGTTTAATTAAGCAGTGATGTAATATAATTACATAAAGCTATTTTTGTGGCTTATGAATTTACAAAGGTACATATTCTTTGTTTGAGTTGTAGGTGATATTTTATTTACAAAAACTTATGAAGGTACCGCAAGTTCTACAGTTCAACAATAGCGACGCTATGCGACTCAGTATATCGCTGCCTTAATGATGTCATCTATCTCGTTGGTATGCTGTTGAACAACAGTCTTATAACACGCATATTCTTGCCAGTCTTAGTCTGTATTCATTACGAGTGGCTGCTTAATTGTAGACGTTCTCTCAATATTGGTAGTTACGATTTCACTGATTTTTTGTACCCAGACACTGAAGTAGATGACGTGAGACTAACTAGTTTTACAGAAATGTTCCGTACTCGTTTTATTAATATTGCTCACTAGTCGCACGACAACTAACCATTTTCTTAGACCTATATACTTGACTGGTTTTATTGCGTAATCGGTTATATTTGTTGCTCAATATCAGCAGTTGGCTTTAGCACGAGACTTCAGAGCAGGATGACAATTTCTGGACAAATTATTCAGATTTCAACTCACAATTTTTGCTTTTTTGCGTGAAATTCACTCATCCATTCAGCTAAATCATGTTCAGACATCGAAGCTGATGTCAGTTTGTTATGAAAACCCTAATTTAATTCGTAATTTCAACTCCTAACTCCAAGTTCTAGTCCAGATTCCTCACACCCATATATCACGCTATATCACCCCTAGTAAGTGGCTAAAGTTTCCTAGGAACACTAATATTGCTCAGAGGTAGTCCATACATTATAGTCTTCCTGTTGAGTGCTTGATCACATCCATAAATACTGTTCAGTATGCCTCAAAAAGCTGTTACATTGTTCATTTATATAATTATAAGTAAAATCCAATAGTAATGTGTTGGTTGAGCACACTAATCTAATGGTCTAGGTAGATCTCAGCGTATTTTAAAGATGTATTAGTTATACGTTGCATTCAGTTAATGGCTTGCAGAGATGTATTATTTACATCTTCCTTGAGTGTAATCAATAGATCTCATAAAACCGGACATTAGGGACGAATCTCAAAATGAACTAACTAATCAAAACATACACAATAAACTAGCTAAGGAAACATAATAAACCGAAGCAAAGTGCAAATCAGTGGAGATTATTGTTTGCTGTCCTTCAATTTAGCCTAAGTAGATGGCTAACATGGTGTTCCAATCGTCGGCTGGTTTGTTCGTGTAAAGTCACCTATTTTTATAATCAAATAATTTAAAATTACTGATCTTTTGTCATATCACCTTTACAGTTCAGTGAGCCATCGGCGTGTCACCCCGTCATTCGGCACGAATACTACCTTTTGCGAGGCGCAATATATCAAACCAAAGTAGCTAGTCATTCGATTAGGCCTCATCGCATATTTGGCTAATATCATTTGACGTTTACAATTATCGACGTGTACTGCATACTTCTGTGGCTTCTTCCAGTTCGTCGACTTTATTTGATGTAAAAGTAAGTTGTGTCTGTGTCAAGTAAAATATAATACACTTAGCGTATTTTGTCCGTCTTCGCTCTTCATATTGACAAAACTTGTGTTAATAGAACGAGGAATTATCATTGGTAAACTTGGCTCTCATGACGTTAGAAACTTCCAGTTTTATTACAGTAACGGAATCCAACCAACAAAAATAGAACGGGACTTCCACGATATCTGAGTTGTAGCATTTTACACTATTTGTACTAGTTAAAAAATTGGGCTTCTCTGATCCTCCTAAGTTGATGACTGTTAAAGCAAAGTAATGTTAGTATTGTGATATTCTCCATAAATGGATACCTCATATAATTGATTCTGTAATGATTTCTGACAGTAAGACAATATGTAGATCATTGTTGGACATAATTTGATGCAAGTTAACTCAATAACTCTTACATTGAGTGGATCACCTATATGATTGATAAAAGATGAGTGACATAATGAATGATGGTGAACAGTTACGTTGATTAAATTACTAGCTTATGAGAAATGATCACTCTAGGACAAATGTATTCAACCATTGTAAATGTTTTTGACTCCGTAAAAAGACTACTTTAGTGTTTAATGTGAATTTCCCTATATATTTGTTTGTATTTAAACAGAAAAGTTGGTTATTCAACTTTTTACCATAACCATTTGTGTTAGATGCATTTAATTGAAGAGCTATGGAAAATTCGATATATAGCTTACCAATAGTTCAATTTAGGATATCGAATTTTATACTTGGAGATGTTAATTACATACCACTCTCTGTAGTTTGGTAGATGAATTACTTCACCACACTTCTGTATCTTCTAGGTTAAATAACTATCCAGTCATGTCAGTCCATCCACCAGTTACCGAACAGAACATTGTCAGAATGCCACGACTTTCAAACGCCGACACTCGTCATGGTAGTTTCCAGCCGTATCCCAGAGGTTCAAAACTCTCACGTCAGTTACAACAGCCTCACGTCACACTGGTTGAATATAAAACAGCTCGTTTTCTAATCACAGATGAACCTAATGCACACAATATGGAAAATTTTATCATGGTACGTTGTATTTCTATGCATCAAGTAGATTTGCATCATTATATTTAAAAAATGTAGTGTTTTTTTCTTTGATGAATTGAACTCAGTGTGAAATCTAAATCACATTACTCAAATACACTAAACTAGATAGCTGTTGAGTTGTGTATGTGAAGTCTGATAATCAATTGAAACTTACAACTTCTTGTTAAATAAATTCTTGCTTCCTGGATTCTTATGTTATCACAACATACAGTAACGAAGCCAATACTCATCTGGATTAAGTTTTTAGTTGTGTCAGATTCAATGTGTTATCGAGTTATCAACAGTGTTTTGTTAATTACACAGGGGGGAATATATTGTTTTGAATTCTTAATGTACCACAATATCCTAAATCCAATGATTTATTTTACTTTGAGTGACTGAACGTCTTTCAATGTCTTTTAATATAATTTAAAGGCTAACATCTTACGAGATAACAACAACAGGATAGTATTTGTTCTACTATCATATTTGGGACACTTAATCAATGTATTCACTAATGATATTTACAATTGAAAGATCCTAATCTCGTTTGTATACAGGCGTGAAATTTCCTTTTGGAATAGAACAAAGTACACCGACCTCACCGGTTTTAATGTAGAAATATTAGTAACATCATTGAGATGTTGGGTTTTTTTTTACCTTATTTAGTCACGCAAACAGTGAAAGAAGAATGCAATTATACCAGATGTTTATTCAAGCGTTAACAAATCTTAGACTCCAAGCATATGTTTTTAGATAGAAGCTTATCTGAAATAGAATGTTTTAATAGTAGCTTTATTTGTAACATGACAACCTCAGGAGAAACCCCTACATTTTCCGATATAGATATTGAATTGATTTAATAAGTTCAGAGACTCATGATTCGGCTTTGATCGTCGTTGTTATCCTCAGATGTCTTGTACTTACAACATATAGTGGGGGGCCACAACAGCTTAGCAAACATACCGACATTAGCCCTTTACCCAGGAGTTTTACGTATAGTGTAACTTAGTGTTTAAAAATAAACTATTTCTAACCAATAGGTCGTAGATTCGAACCCTACTCCACCTATTTCAGTTTGCTTATTTGCATAAAATCATTAGTCCTTGCATCTTAACATACAACTTTAAATCGAATACATCAAACTACATTTAATAATTGATAAACACAGAAATATAAATGATATATACTGTACATGAACTTCGAATTGTAACCGCTAAAAAAAATGCATCACTTAAACTATTAAAGCATATAGATTACATACGAATAAAATTCTTTCAATTAGTTACCTTTACGAATTTGAATATAACCAGAACAAACATACATACCGAGTAATATGAATTCATTATACTTCTACATGGTTTCTCATCAGCTACTTACAACTATTGATATCTATTGAAAGTTTACATTGAGAGATAAGATATAGTGTGAAACAATTGACAATACATATATAAAACTGTAAGCAACTGATGAGAAACCATAAAACAGAATAAATTCATATTATTCTGTATCCATGTTTGTTCTGACTTTATTCAAAATAAACTTCTATTTCTAGATGAAAAAAAAATCGATTAATTTGCTTGATAATTTAACTTTATTAGGATATTTCTATAAATCTTTTAATTTTGTTTTCTTTCTTTCTTAATCTCAATTTACGCTTTAACATCCCAATAATTTCTAACTCTCTGGATGAAATTAGGTCAAGCATTCATTAGAATAGAATAGAAATAAAACTTAAATTATTGATTGGGAATGTAAACTGTCAATGATGTATTTTATATCTATCAAATAATTACTTTAGAGTTAATTTAAGGTTGTGTTTATGGTTTCATGTTCTGTATGGTAACTTGGACCGATGCATATATATGCCCCGGTCCTACGTTGTAGCTGAATGACTGACTGACTTTCATGTTCTGTAAAGATTGGGAAACCAAAGATTTATTTAGAGTTTGTTGAATAATTTGATGAAAAAATTATTTCATCTAATTACCGGTTCGAAAATTAGTATGTTTTTATTATTATTCAATAGTTTATTAATCTGGGCATTATCGACATTAATCCCAATGGTTCATATAATGATTCCCCTTTCACTAGGCGAGTTCAAAAAGTTATATATTATTACTAATTTTCATGAACTAAATAAGTATACTTATTTTGATGGAGTTTTGTTCTTTGAGCTGGATGGTTTTGTCGTGGATCTTTCATTGTTCTTCTGAACAACATCATCAGCACAAACTTCAGATAGAAGTGAAGTGTACGAATTTCTACATATGTATTTCAAAGCTTGTTCTGTGCAACTCGATGTTGATTGGTTCTTATTTACCTTAAATTTGTTATTGTTTACTTCTTTGTTTTGGTTGTGTCTCCTATTGATTTGGTTTTTGTTCCTATATTTGTGCATGATTTTCCTGATTGGTTGGTAAATTGGATTGATTTCAATATGCTTGTTGATTGCTGATTGACCTGAGTGCCAAGCTTCTAAAAATCCTCTGGTGTTTTTGGAGTTTCCTCTGTGTAGGATTTCCACATTTTTCCAATCGAATGAGTGTCCGCAGTTATCCACGTGTATTGATATAAGTGAAGAGATATCATGGCGTTTGACTTCTAATTGGTGTTCGTGTAGGCGAAGGTGAAGGGGGCGTCCGCTTTGTCTGATGTAGTGTTTTTCGCAGTTGGCACAATTTATTTTGTAGTTGATGTTTAGTTTGTTTTCCTTTATTATTTCATCCTTTGGTTTGCATAGGATTGATTGTAGTGATTTTGTCGGTTTGTGTGCCACACCTATGCCGAAGGTTTTCAGCAGTCTCGTTGCGGTTTCTGATATTTCTTGTATGTACGGTAGGGTGATCCTTTTGTTAATTTCTCTGCTTGACTTGGGTTCAGATGCTGCGTGCGATTGGTATTTTTTAATGAAGTTGATTGGGTAGCCGTTCTTTTGAATTACGTCCTTCAGGTATTTCTCTTCATTTTTTCGTGCTGCCAGTGTGCTGCAGTATATCCTCGCCCTCTCGAACAAAGTGTTTACGCAGTTGATTTTGTGAGCTCCTGGGTTGTTGTTATTGTAGTTGAGGATTTGATCTGTATGGGTCGGTTTCCTATATATTTAAGTTTTCAGTTTTCCTGTGTCGGTTCTAGTGATCAATATATTCAAGAATGATAGTTTATTGTTTGACTCCTGTTCCATCGTGAACTTGATGTCATCGAAGACGTTGTTGAACAGTTTGTAAGTGTTTTCCAGCTCATTCTTTTTGACGATGACAAAAGTGTCGTCTACATAGCGAATCCAAATTTTCGGCTTGATCACTGGTAGTATCGCGGTTTCTAGTCGTTGCTTCAAGACCAAACCATCCAGGTCAGAGAACAAAACTCCACCAAAATCATCCACCTGAGCTACAAATCTCCACCATCTCAAGTATACTTATGCATAGTTGTTAATTCATTTCAAGAACATATTTTTTTATAACGATTTTCATTCAGGTTTTCAAACTACACAATGTACGCAAATTGGTTCGAGTATGCAAAGCTACCTATGATAAAGAACCGCTTGAATCTGTTGGAATTGAAGTTGTGGTAAATTTCATTGTTTATCATAGTTATTACGATATAATAAAAACATTCTAATGATGTGTATACTCTTACTCTTTCTACCACTACGGGATTTGAATCGACAATTGTATCTCTGTGCTAATATGGTATGGCAACTTGAATTGGTATATGTACGTACGAAGGTCTACGTTGTTACTGATTGAGTGAAGATCACATATCAGTCAGTCATGATCAATATGAGAACCTGGTACATATGTGAGCGTTGGCTCAAGTTCCTATAACTCATTGACACAACGAGGTGAATATTAAAAAAAAAAACGAATCGAAATAGTGCAACAGTTGTGATAGTGAATACTGAGACGACAAATTTGAAAAGTATGTGTGAGAGAGTGCTGGAATTGAAAATCTGGAAGAAGATACAGAATGAATGGATTTGGGCCATTGTAACTGATTCTAGATCATATCACTCAATGTCTTCTAATCATTAGTCACATTTATTACACAGACCTTAAGCAGTTGGTTTGAATCTACCAATTTAGCTCTGACCACATATGCCATTATATTTCAGAAATGTTTAGAGATCTCTTTGTCATTCTGTTTCTCATCTTTAATTCTTATTTATTTATTGATAAAGAGTTTTATCGAATGATATTTGAAAATCCAAGTTTTCAGTAGACTGAATTTAAACTGCTTATTGTATTCACATATTTTGTAAATCAATTAGACTAGATATAAATGATACAAAGTTAAGTCGAATGAACTTGTTGATCTTCTTATTTTATCATAAAAATTAAGTATTAACTCCATCTAATTGATATAATGAATCAGTCTGATTTAGACACCATTGAAAACCTGGAAGCATCAGATGGCCGTTTTTTCCTAGTGTGGGACTCCTCAGTGAAGGTGGGCTTACACGACTACGCATGTAGGGATCGGACCTAAAATGATCGGCATTGCGCACGAAAGCTTAAACTTGTGACCAATGACCAGGCATTCAATAGTGTACAAGTTTAGAGGTTAAACGTTCGCGCGCAAGGCTGGTCATGGGTTTTATTACTGCCTGCGCGCTGTTGAGGAGTCCCATGCCTGGACGAAACGGCTGTCTAGTGCTTTTGGGATATGAATGGTTGTCTAAGTTTGATCGGTTCGGGGTCTCAGTGAAACTCAGCAATCTTGATAACCTCATGCTGATATTATTGTTTAGTGTTTCTAACCATAGCTTCTACCTGGGTATAATGGTCAGGTTTACCTATCGTGACGACCCTATCGAATTATAATGAATTTTATGCTCTGTAAATCAGTTGATCAGACCAAACAAGCAGATTGTACATCTGAATCATAGGTCATTCTGTTATAGCGGTATCGGATTTCCCACCAAGAACTGACATCTCTTCTAATACTGGATTTCCGCAAAAATATTAGGGAACTATTCTTTTAAATGTATTCACTGTATTGAAGTTCTAACAAAATTAGTTTGTGTTGACTAAATAATAATTCTTAGATGATTTAGGCAACGTATTTATGTATAAGGGAATGAAGTATTAATTTAATCATAAATTGACTTAATCTTTTCAACATTTTACAGGATCTTGAATACGATGATGGTGCACCGCCTCCAGACGTAGTAATTGAAAAATGGTTTCAACTGATTACAGATATATGTCAACAAGGACCTGGAAGTTGTATAGCTGTACACTGCAAAGCTGGACTTGGCAGGTTAGGGTTAGATAATATTATGATAATATACTTTTGTTATTAAAATTTTTCCAAGCTGTGTATTATTATAAAGACAATATGAACGACATCGATTGTATCGACTTAATTTACACAAGTTCTCCATTTCAATGGTAATTATAATATGCCATAAAACTTAATACACAAAGAGTCAGCAACATTTGTTTTTGCATGCTATGAACGTTTTTTCACTTCATGGAAATATTTCTTGAATAAACAAATTTCACAACCGTTGAGGAAAGTTTTCGACTGATTTAAACTTCGTATTGTCTTCTCAAGCAAGCTGGCTTACTATTCATGAATGTGCCAAGGATGGATTTTCACTTTGGATCACATTGATGTGTATCTGTGTTTGTTTGCACATACAGGGCAGGTTATATTGACTCTACATAACCAAAATTTTCTAAACGCATTTTAGAACGTCACAAGGTATGGAGTTTTAAAGGGGAATGCCAAGCAATCACTAGATCAATACAATGGCACCTCATCAACTCTGGACACGTTTAAAATAATCTGCACAGTCAAAAAGGGAGTCAAGTGTAGGTCAAAGAAAAAGAAACTTATGCAATACTGGGGTATTGGTGATTAAATAATTCAAGCTTGAACTTTGGGTGCAATTTCTCATCCCTATATAGTCATAACAACTTTCTCCAGTATGTTTTCTGCTGATCCCTAGCCTGGGTAAAAGAAGCTGGTTGAACTTGTAGTTAGCAACCTCATGTCGTAAAAAAAATTGTTACGAAAACCCTTCACTTTACTTACACCTTATGCTTTTTGTGGAGCATATGCCAATGACCTAACAATTACCATGACTATTATTTAATTGTTATAACTCACACGTTTTTCCTTTCCTCTTCATATCTGTTAAATAAACAGTTACCTCTCACAGTGCTGACCTATAAATTATTCTTATTCTTCAACTAACTAATTCTTTCTTCCTATACTATATCCTTATTGCAATCTTTCTCCTATATATTACCACCTTTGACCTAACCACTCCTATGAATCCGGTGTTCATCTTGCTATGCTAATAAAGTATGGCAACCTGGACCGATGCACATATGTGCCTGGTCCTACGTTGTAGCTGACTGACTGACTGACACGATCACCACTACTCAATCTTCTTTCGTTATTTAAAATCTCGAATCATTTTATAATATAATTCTATTTCTATTCTCTTCTAGGACTATCATATGTATTTATGAAGTAATTGTAATAATAAATATACAACTTAAGTAAATCATTTCATTGAAAATTATAATAATTTCAAGTAAAATTCTTTAAATTTCAATCTATTCAATGTTATAATTTTTTCATTTAGAGCTCCTGCTCTTGTTGCAGCCGCTTTAATTGAACTTGGTTTACCGTACAATGAAGCTGTAGAAATGATTCGTGGGTAAGTGAATAATAAGACTAGAATTAATGAATGAATTTATTAAATTTAAAATATGAAATTCGTTGTTGTTGTTGTTGCCATTTATAGCTGATGTCAGTTTGTGATGATGATAACAACTCAAACTGTTAACTCTCCAGATCGTGAATTTCGATTTCTTACACTAATTGATAACTTTCTTTCATTCTCAGCTAAAACACAGGACTGGAGACATGTATGCATCGGTCCAAGTTGTCATACCTCATTAGCACAACAAGATAAAAACCAAGTCAGTCAGTTAGTAACAACGTAGAACTTCTTACGTACGTACTTAATTTCGAGTTACCACACCACATTAGCACAGAGATGCAGTTGTCGATTCAAATCCCGTAGTGATAGAGATGGTAAGAGTATAAGCAGTAATTGGAAAGATTAGGGTTTGAAGATATTATTTAAAGAGTATAATCCAGTGAAATAAATTTGGAAAGAGAAAAAAAGAGACAAGGAGTATTCAGGAAACTAGGATTCAATGGTAGTAAAGGAAGAAAAATATTAGTTCATAGTAAGAACGGTATAAAACAATTTTAATCTCACAGTTTAAGGGAAGACAAAATGCACACACCGATACCATTGTGATCGATTCTGACCCATCTCACCCATAGTCCCTAACCATTTGTTACAATAGTCACGCTGACCACAACGAAGTAGTATACATCTATCAACATGACTTCAAGAACCGATGCCAAGTTTTGGTTTGGCCGCCTCTAACTTCTTTCCAACTGTTTCGAACATTAGTCAGCATTGCGCGTCATGGTAAACAACCCTCTTTAGACTCTATTATGTTGGTGAATTTGTTTTAATGATCATTTTAGCATTATTTAAAGGTTGTCTATAATTTATAATTTCATCAATTCATAAATCTAACATTGTTTTGATTTGTATACAAAATAGATCTACAAATGAATTTATATAAATTTGATTATAAATAAGGAATAATTAATGTAGTAGAATACCATGAATTTATTTCAATTTTACCGGTTTTCGTCAGCTGCTTACAATCTTTAAAGAAAAACAAAATCAGTCTACATATTTTATAATAATGGAAGTATTTTCATTAATGAAGGTCAATGAAAAGAGTACTAAGTAGTATAGAAGAAGGAAGGAAGGAAGGAAGGATATGAGGTGTTCGTATGTTAATCAATGTAAATATTTATAGGTTAGATATAAGAATATTCTAGAATAAATAACTAAGAGTATAGGAACAGAGTTATTTAGAAATAATATATTATTGTTATATTTATGTAACTCTTAAAATAAAATAAACTAACTAAATATAGAACATATAAAAATTGAGAGGTTAAGCGCTCACGCCCAAGACTGATAGGTCCTGGGTTTGGAATCTCGTGCGGCGGGATCGTGGATGCGCACTGCTGAGAAGTCCCACAGTAGGATGAAACGGCTGTTCAGTGCTTTCAGGTTTTCCATGGTAGTTTAGCTTCAATTAACTCATGATCTCAATTATTGAAATTACTATAATATCTACAAAAACCCCATCTGATATTAATTAATAATTGGTGTCATGAAAAGAATTTTATATCAAATATTTATGAATAGGTTCACCAAAGCAAACCAATAGTAACAACTGAATCTTTCTGAATATATAAATTTGGTTTCAGTTTTTTTTATACCTTTTGCTTCAGTAAACCTTAGTAAATTTGACGTTCTTTGTCTATTAATTATCTTGAAGGACTTTGAGAAATCAATGTCATTGTTAAGCAGACGGCAAGCAATAGCACTACTGAAAATGTATTACCCTCTTAGTCTAAACTTCCGTGAATTTGGTTACGAACGAGGTGATCTCTAATGGAGTTTAAGGTTTTCGACTCTGTTGAAGGATCTCTACAATTGTTTTTTTTTCAGAATCACTATTGCAGGATTCCTTCAAAACGACACTAATCAGTGTCGTTTACATGCATGTCTTTGCAAGTTGATGGCTAGAGATAGACGACAGGGTTAGGATACTACCCGGGTGCTCAAACCAAAGCAGGTGGTTTTCGTAGGGGGCCACCTCGAGCTTTTGACCCAGAGTTCTAATCCACAAGACAGTGGAGAAACGTTATGAGATCCAGTCCCTTGGTAGCCGTTGAGCAACAACAGGTTTATATTTCATTTGTTCCCTCAGGATCTTGGAGCCCATGTAAATTATTGGTCTGGGATGAGCATTTTCCAACTCCCTCAGATGGATCCTCCATATCCACCAACCTGGTTAAAGCGCCAGACATTTGATTTTCGTTCTTTCCATTTGGTATACAACACCCCCGTGGTGAAAGAAGGCAGTGAGTAGGACTTCCCTGAAAATGGCTGTATACGCGTGGCCATGTGACAGCTTTTGGAGGGAGAGAGAGAGAGAGCCGACTCTCCCCACTCTCGGCCGTACCAGGGCATTTGAAAGCAGTTTGTAAATTATCTTATCAATGTTCGTTTATTCCACTAATCCATATTTTCTTCTCAAGTCGTATCCTCGATGCCTAATCTTTTCTATTTCCACTAATACTGTTATTACTTCTACTATCCTGGATATTACGTTAACCATCCCATCTCCCTGTACTAACAATGTGTAATCACTTAAACCAATACACATATATGCTGGGTTCTATATTATAATGTATCATATAGTATTCATCTTAATCTTGAAGGTTTCTTATTAACCATTTCCATATTTTCCTTTTTTTAAACTTATTATTTTAGACAAAGAAATGGAGCATTAAATGCTCGTCAAGTTCAATATTTAAAAAATTTCCATCCAAAAAAACGTCTTCGTCATATCAAATCACAATCGGATCGATGTCAATTATTATAGAATAAAATCTCATTGTTAGATAACAGATATTTAACCTTTATTATTATTATTATTATTATTATTATTATTATTATTATTATTATTATTATTATTATTATTATTACCATTATTATTTATTATCATCATTGATATTGTTGTACATGTATCTACCCGATGTTGACATTATTTCATCTATCCCCCTTCCACTTCGGCCATGACTTTACATTTGAATGTATCCTGTAAACTGTATCATTTTATCTTTTTGCTTCTTTGTTTATCATTTTTGTTTCGTTCTGTACACTTTCATATTATTTCTCAAAAGGATAATTTTTAAAATGAATAAAAGAATAAAGATAATTGTCAACGAAAAGAATTTCTTTTCTTCGTCTCTTTTTTTGACAATTTAAGGTGTATAATCATATTTATATGCTAACAAAGTAGTAGTAGTAGTGGTGGTGGTGTAGCGAGCAAGAACAGAAGTGCAGACAAAATTACAGAACGTGATATAAGTGCTTGAAGTCATTGATTTCTAGTCTGAGCTATGTTGGTAGATGCAGACTACTTGATTAGGGTCCGTGTGACTATCGTAACCAATGGTTGGAGACTCTGTGTGACATGGCTCAGAATCGATCACAATGACGTAGGTGTATACACTCTCTTCCTTTAAACTATGAGGTTAAAATTGCTTTATATCTTTCTTTCTACCAACTAATTCTTTCTTCCTTTACTATATTCTTATATGCGATCTTTCTTTTATATATTACCACCGTTGAATTAACTACTTCTATGAAGTTGGTGTTCATCTTGTGCTAATGAGTGAGGTATGGCAACTTGAACCGATGCATATATGTGCCTGGTCCTACGTTGTAGCTGACTGACTGAGTGAAATTTGAGAATCATATAGTAAATACCTCATTTGTAAGATGTCAATCCGTTGTCTCAAACGTCGTTGTACTTTCGTTTACACACCAGTCATCCTCTGTTGTCGTTCTCTTCGATTTTCTTAACCTTCTGCCTCCAGTCATTTCACTTTTGATTGATGAAACATACTACTTATTTATATTTCTCGACATCAGCAGCGTACACTACCATAGTAGTAGTAATGATAATATCAGCCTGTAGTAAAATTGAAGTGATAATTCATTTATAAAAAATTGAAGTTGTATCGTATCATCAGTTGTTTACGAAAGTCAAGTATTGAAAGAAAATTATAAAATAATCCAACGGATATTGAGAGCTGTTAAGACAATTGTCTATTTGATAAAGTATTACAAACAGAATAATGAAAAGTAGAGTTGAATGGTGACTAGTAATGTAGGTCAGGTCTCGTGTTTCGTCTTACTTGTGACTCATCAGTTTGGTGTGTTTGAATTTCAAACTTGATGTTTGCTCCAGGACTCAAACCTAGTACTGTTCTCTCTAAACAGTTAGGGCGTTGATCACCCAACTACTGAGTCCAGTTAACCACTAGGCTGTGCAATCAATTGAAATTTAATTCACTTGTACTGGTTGTTTGAATGTTCTCTTTGATATTTAAGACTAGAATTGATCAATCTCTTGTTGACATGTGTATCCTGTACGGATCGCTTTTATATTGCCATTGTCATAAACATTATAAACAGAAATTAGTGATGACTGAACTGATCAATAGGAAGATTCAAAAGGATAACGAATAGTCATAAAAAATAATTGGGAAATAGTAGAAAAAACAGTAGATCATAGAAAATAGAAAGGAAGGTTAAGACCATGGAAAACGAGGGATTGAATGTACTGTTTTTCTATGCAGAGGTTTAGCTTGAATTGGTCCATAGCTATAGCCTCTGCTGTACCTTAGTTTTATATTTGTATTCCTTTAGAACGGATTGTTCTGATTATGAATAGATTTGAAGAATGATTCTCATAGAACAGATATACCAGGGTAGAGCTTTTGACTGACTTTTCTACTCCTTAAATAACCAGACAGGATAATGTTCGGAGGTGGGCTTTGAAAGAACTCGATTTATGTAGTCAATATAACCTGCTCCATATAATCATATAAATGGATAGATGCTCAGTGGAGGCTTGGCCTTTACACAGCTATGTAGAAAATGTCCAAAAAGATAATGTTCAGACAAATGGGATGCTTTTCTTAAAGATCTCAAAAGTCTGCTTATCATAATTCTTACCTCAGCAAAATAAAGAGAAAAGGAGTAGAGACAATAGAATTGTTAGTTTTAGTACGAATGACTAAATATAACAGGGAATTTCAAAATTCGTACTTGAAATTGGATAGTAAGATAATACACTAGATTGAATCAAATGATACAAAATATCAACTAGTGGTTGGGAACCAGATTATGAGACAGTAATCTTCTGTGAACCTGCACTCTTGCAACCGATTTTGTACCATGTTCCACAAAATCACCAACCGTTGATTATATGCATATGTACTAACCACTTCGTTCGGCAGAGATCTACAGTCTCGTTGAATTATTTGTCATGTTTGTGTAATACTACAACATAACCACATTATCAGTCACTCGGTTGTTTCAACATACACAAATGGTGTTTCGAAAAGGCCTATGATCAGATAATGGTAACTTGGGAACTTCTAGTACCAAAGACCAAGTTTCAGACCATTCACCTACCAATAGCATTGAGATCTATAAATCAGTGACACTCTACTGTCCCCCATTTTACCTACTTGAAGTAGTTTTAGGACCTCGTGGAACGAAAATTACTTACATTCTCACAGTTTTATTTGACCAACTTCTTATTTCTTTTATGTACATAGACCTCAGCATTTGTGATTGACAATTGCCGTAATATTACGAAAGGTGATATTCTTTTCGATCACCACGGATTTCATGGTACTGACCAGCCTTCTCAATATTACTCTCATCCGTTTCTGATTTTGAATTCACCAAATAAAAAGTATTTGAATATGTGCAGTTATTTCATCTTTGCAAACATGTAATTGATTGTTATTTCGTGATAAGTCGACCATCTTCCTACTGCTGACTTATTACTAGAATACTGTCTTTCGTCGCTTATATTAAACTGGTAATTGCTTTAAGACAAACCCTTGTTTACAGGACAATTGGGAATTAGAACAGTGATCTAGTTCGCGTACCTCATTGTCTCTTTCTAATTTTCAGGTGACCAGGAAGTGACGACCATCTTTGCATCTCTAAAAACGCTCGGAGGCTTGTTGTTCACAATCGAATTCCCTCTTCATTCCCTGGTATCTCTACTATCAACTCCCCTTCTATGGTTTCTTTTTTGTCCCCACTAACCATGTTGGAGCTTTCAATGTTCAAACCGCAAATCAAATCAAACAACAGACTTCATTAGCTAGGAGTCTAGAATCTCGTACCACTGATATATACTATGTCTCTAAAACTTGCATTTACGATGAAAGTGTAGTCAAGCAGTTAAATTCAATTAACACGGATTACGAATACTTTTCATCCTCTGTGTATCTGCTATTCTCAGCCTTGCTATCGTAGGTATAGTAATCAGTTTAAATGTGAAGCAGGTTCTCTGTGACTGAATTTCAGGAGATATTCATCAGTGTACTATCCATTTCAGTGGGATAGTAAGAACTCGGGAGGATAATGGTGCACACCGTTTTATTTTCCTCGTTTTTTGCCTACGATCCTACTGACCGACTGAAATTTGAGTGGAGAAAAGATGAGTTTCGTAGGAAGTGCTCTACTTTCTATCAAAAAAAATTATGGTGTGTTGTTCAGTTTTTAAAACTCATAGTTGTAAGTATTTAATACAACACCATGATACATCAGATTAGCATTACATTTTAGTTTGTACAAAATGTTATGTTTGCTGTTTGATTAACACAGAATAGCGTATATCGCTACGGTACTCGAACATGTGGAACTCCACAGTCACAAAATCAGAAGACAGAAGGAAACTGGAGAAGTGTTTGTTAGGTAAGAATCAAAATGTACAGAAAATCATGGGTATTTATAGATATTAGCGTTTGTTCTAACATCATTATAATTCAGCCAATCCGCAAACAGGCAAACTATGCTACTATCCAATCATAGTATGCCACGTTGATATTCTAGAAAGTTCCATCACGTTCTGATTGAATGGAAACTTTTGGCAATTCTCGGAAGATATCACAACACATAACTAGAATATGATTAGTTCCAGGCATGGTAAAAAATAAACTGTGAAGGTGAGAACTATCATGATAGTTTAAAGAATAATTAAAAAAAACTGAATTAAACTTAAGCTGACGGTTGATTAAGTAGAGTTAGTGAACATAAATGACTTATCTCTGTTCGATGAAACTATAATTTATGGACGACATTTGAGCGACGCCAGACTTACAATGAGAGTGTCTATCTACTTACTAGAGCTAAATGAGTGTTATAAAGCAGTTTGAAAAATAAGGATTATGATATACAGTTGATGGTTAGGATTAGGAATTAGATTTAGGGTTTTCATCACCGACTGATATAAGTTATAATGCCAAAACTGTAATTAGTCAAATGAGTAAATGAATTTCGCGTCAAAATCTATGACCTTTTATCGTAAATCTGATTGGTTCGTCCATAAATTATAGTTTCACCCTTTATTCTATTCACACAAGACAAACATATTTGGTTGAATGATTTCCTCTTCAATATTTAGTAGTATATAAAGATTAATACAATGAGAGAATTTTAGAAAGAATAAATTTATTATTATTGTTATTATTGTGAAGTTGGCAGTTAACTACTTACTAATTAAATAGAGAAGTTACATCATCATATTAATGACTTAATCAAGTCTAATTATTGTAAACAAAATTAAATACCAGTTACATAATACAAAGATTCTATTTATAGAAGTGAGGACATCAAAGTAGTTCTACTGTACGGAGCTGAATCTTGAAGAACTAATACAACTATCATCAAGAAGGTACAAGTATTTATTAATAGTTGTCTATGTAAGATACTCAACATCCATTGACCGGATATCATCAGTAACAGCCTGTTGTGGGAGAGAAAAAATCAGCTTCCAGATGAATGGGAAATTAAGAAAAGTTGATGGAAATGGATAGGACATATATTACGCAAATCGTCAAACTGCATCTCGAGACAAGCCCTAACTTGGAATCCTGACGGGAAACGGAAAAGAGGAAGGCCTAAGAACACATTACTTTGGGAAATGGAAGCAGATCTGGAAAGGATGAATTACAACTGGGAAGGATTGCCCAGGACAGTGTTGGATGGATAATGCTGGTGAGTGGCCTATGCTCCTTCACGAGTAGTAACAGGCATAAGTAAGTAACTCTACTATACGGAGTTGAAACTTAGAGAACTATCATAACCATCGTTCAAAAGGTACAAGTATTTATAAGCAATTGTCTACATAAG